CGCGTTTGTGCTCTGTTCCCGATCGAGATCAGCACATCGGACGGCTCCCAAAACAACTCGAAATCTCTTCAAAAGATGCACTATCGCCCCGTTATGACTGCTGAGGCTCGGGTAGATACGGAGCTGGAACGAGTTTGGCGGATTATTTGGGTACGAGGAAAAACAAGTTTGTGAAGCGTATACATCCGTGAAGAATCTAACGCATCACTCCATCAGCTGGAATAGATAATCACTTATCGCGGGAGTTTTTCCTTCCTCGAGCATGTTCAGGAGCTGTGGAGTCTTCCGAATATTGGTTCAGCTCACCCGGACGTTAACTTCTACGATCTGGGAATTTATAGGAATTCTCTGGCTTTGGGCTCCATTCAACTCAGTCCAGTGCCCCACGTTTTTTTGGGGGGTGCACTTTTTTGGCAGGTGAGCTGCTTAGGATCCTGATAACAGGTCTGGCACCCGATCCGATCCGTACTTGCACGCGAGGAAATGACACGAGGAAAAGCATACGGCAATCCGAATTGGATTCTTGTTTCTTATTCCAAGCGCCGAGCAAGGCGGCGAGCTACGTGTCCAGGCCGTCGATGCAATGCTAGACTTTTGAAATCGCCCGAGAATCCGAATTCGACGGAATCGAGCAGCGAATAAACGGACCATTCATGCTCTTGAGCGAAGGAGGAGAACTGGCGGATAGCGCGGAATTTGCTGCTTAATTTTACTTCGGCGAGCACGTCTGTCAGAAACCGTCGTCGCGTGTTTCTCCGCTCGGCTGTTGTCCTTTTCGTCGTTCCGTTCACCTTCGAACTATTTCTACGCAAACCGGTTATCAAGACGGTCGATACCACGCGGTACATCGGGAAGAAGTCGCACGAGGAGTAAGCGTCTGTCAAGACAGAAACCACCGAATTTCTCCGGTTTTCTTCTCGGCTATCGGTACGACTAAAATCACCGGCCCTTCTCTCCCTTATGGTCTGGCACTGTGCCACCCAGGTTTCCGTCGAAAGTTGAGCTCCGAAAGTGAATACCTACGGAACTTCCAAATTTCAAGGTTCCGCTGCCCTAAGCAGATCAACGATCACGGTCGGTGCTATCTCGCTCAGTACGGTGAGGCGGCAGCAGCAAACAAGCCTTTGGAAAATTGGGACGGTTTCCGAAGACACTGATCATCTGATCGTCTTCAGTGATCTGGGGGCGGATACCGGCAGCAGGCCGATCCTCGGCCGTTCGGAATTCATGCAGAAGGATTGACGGACCGACAGAGCGCTGTCCCACTTACGAAGTAGTCCACGCTGAGCCGGAGCCGTCCCGTTAAAACGTCCCGCTGCAACGTCCGAACGCCGAAGATGCTGGAGGCGATGCTATTGCGCGTTGATGAGCGATTCGTTTAAGCACAGGCCAACTCCGAGCATATTCTCTCCTCGGAACAAGTGTTTTCTTCTGATCTGAAATTCCAAGCGTCAGCTCGTCTGTGGGCTCCTACGAGCGGAAAGGCGATCAATCCGCTCGCTTTCCGATGACTGAAAAGACACCGGGGATGTGCGAAACCACCCGGTGGAGCTTCAATCGCAGCAAAACGACCTGAGCATGTGAAAAATGGCAAGGACGAAAGAATCACTATTTCTGGACCGATAACCGCGACAGCCATTCAGAGATTCTCACGAATCCGACAGCACCTGTGTCGGGAGCTGGAGGAAGGATATCGAAGGTCTCTAGATCTCCTCCAGCTCCGAGGAAGAGGGAATGGCTGATTAGACCATTCTCCCTCTACGATTTGTCTACCCGCCGTGCTTGCCAGAAACCGCAGAGTGTTGCTTCGTATGGCTCCTGTGTTTAACCGTGCGTTTTGGTGAAATTTCACCGACCGCACGGAGCTCTGGGCGAAGGAAGGAGAGACTGTTCGCAGAAAGCAGCGAACCAAAGAAGCCGCCGACCAAACAGCGACCAGCCAATGAAACCGGCGCGGCGGCTTCCACGCAGTGCAAACAAAAGCTACAAGCACCGATAAACTCGTCCGCTGGAATCGATGCAATTACGCTCGTTCCGCAATAGTTTTCACCGGGTGGATAGTTTCTAACTGTTATCAACACCCGAGGGATCGACGAATGTCGCGCGATATCCACTTCAGTCTTCCGAGGACCGCGCGGTCCTACTGCGACGCAATCTTTGCGGGAATTTTCTTTCCGCACTTTGCTTGGGTTATGTCATATGCCAGACTGAACGTTGAGAGATATAATAAACAGAACCGTCCAAGTTCTAGAACTGATCTGACAGCGCTCGCCGGAGAATTCAAACAGTTTAATGGACGAAGTGCCCCGCATAGAGACCTGTCCAAGGTCGTCAGGTGAATTCAGCATAAACAATAGCTGCTTCACTCATCGTTTCTGCCACAGGAATAATCAGAAACGGAGTCATTCAGAGAGATACAGCGATGAAGTATCAAGTATAAACGAGGAACGATCAACCATTCCCTGGTTCGAATCGTTTGTCACATCTCTCGGAATGAATCTTCCTGAATTGGACAGACTACCGTCTCTGTCCGAGAGAGAGGACGCTCACGATCCGAGAGCTGTGCTTGAATTTCGAAATGAGGGGCGGGCAGCGTCCTTCGAGCATTCCGCTGGGCCGCGATCTTCTGCAGGAGACCATAACCTCTTCTCTGCATATCGACACGTCGCAGAGCGGTTCTTCTTGAATCCGAAACATTGGATTCTCTCGCAGAGCGGATTCGGAATATTGAGAGGCGCTCGAATCGATTGAAAACTCCAATGAGCATGGCCATCAGCATACCTTGCGATCAGGAAACAAAAGAAGCACGGAATTCTGTTTTGTGGAACGTGAGTCAGGGCTAGTGGTCGTGAATTATAGAAGTACGGAGTGGCAAGGCACCTGCTTTGTATAGACTGCCTCATTCCTGCAGACCATTGATCCGCATATCATATATGACTGCCGCAATGATTAATTCCGGAACGGAGAAATCCTTCCTGGAACTAGTTGCCGCAAAGACATATACCCGATATCTTTTTAGAATTTTGCTTCGGCGGACGGATCGTGGCCGTGCAGAGACAATGCAGCCCCGTTCGGAGCAGAAACGGGAGGAGTTCTATTTTAGTGGGTGTCCTTCCTTCCACCTAGAACAACGCCTCTACATGCGGCTGTCGTTGTTGCTCCCCGTGGCCGTTCACTCCTTGTTTTTGTTGTCATTATTATTTCTCTTATAGATTCCGCATTCGTTGCTATCGACCCGTGGGCTTGGAACACCGGAACCGACGTTTGTTTTCACTTCAAGCCTCTACATCTTAGCCCATCCGCTGAGAACAATCGTGCCGTTATTACGCTTTTTTATTGGACCGAATGTATTTCACTGCCGGATTGACGGACGGCGAAAGGGAGACGCTTTCGCCCTTGTGCGTCAATGCCTAATGAAAAAAATGAGATACGATAGATCGCTTCTGCGGCGGAGTCCTGTGGGTCTCCCGGTCAATCGTCAATCGGCGAGCCTCTTTAGATATACCGGGGGAGTCGAAAGAAACTCTGATCTGTGTACGCCATTGCTGTGCGTCATCTGTGCTTCCGACATCAAAAGACGCATATGCTCTTATGGACGTATGTTCATTCGTGGTGATTTCGAAATGCTCCTCATGCATGCTAGCATCAAAAGGCTCGACGTTTGTGACGGTCATTTGTGTTTCTTTGCGCAGATTTCCTTCCGGTTAATTTCCAGGGCAGCTTTGATTTGATTTGGCTCAGCTTACGGCCGAAATTCTCTATTCCGTTCGTCGACACCGTTGTGCGAACCCACCCCCGCTGCCGCTCATTACAGGCTTCGAGAAACTGCAGTATTTTCTCAGCGCCCTTTATGTACATCTTTATTCTGTGAGAATAGTCCTTCCCTACTCCTTTATTTTCGGGTCGCGGTCACCGAAAAGTCTCATCTTGGGCATCCCATAGCGATCTTGCATACATGCAGGAAATTTTCGACCTTTCGCGGGGGTCTTCCTGGCATTCCTATGATCGTCTCCGGTGCGGGAAGGTCATCCGTTCCCTGAACTTTTCGATTTTTTCTATTTATTTATACTTTTATCGGGGGAAGCATGCCAGTCACTGTGAGGTGGAGAAGAGGCTGATATTTCCGACGGGCATCGCCGGCGTCTGACTGAGGTCAAACTTTGGGAAGTTTCCAGTCCTGGTTGGAATCGAAGTCCCGAATTCCCCATTGAAAGTTCAGGCTTTGGATGTTGCGCGACACTTTTAATTTTCCAAGTCGAGTCGCGGAATGACGAGCATGTCTGTCATGAGCTCCCCACGGCGACGGTAGACAGCGCTCCGTCGGGCTGCGTTTGACGTAATTTTCCCACGTTTTTAGCGGGTTTTTGTCGTGTCAGAAACGGGCTCAAAGGAAGCTGCTCATGGGTATCCTCTCGCATCAAGAACTCCATACAGCTTGGTCAAAGAGACGAGTCTTGTGGAAAGAACCGTTGCGATTGTTCACGACTCCGTCGGAAAGTGACGACGATCTCCCGAAATCGATATCGGAAGCCATTCAAATCAAGCATCGCTCAAGGAAGCGATCGCACCGTACGGCAGTTTTGGGTCATGTTCCGAAGAAGCATACATGCTGTCTCCCAACTCCCAGCGTGGCTCCCAAGGACTCTGGTCTCGCCGGATTTCTACTGTCGGCGTCGCCCCGGCTTCAACCTTCGCCCCCTTCAAACCTCTCGGCTGTCGATGCCATGCATGAAATAAGACTTGAGAGCTCGAATTCAGCAGTAGTAGCTGAAACTTACATGGCTAATACTATTCCCTTAAACTGGCACCGGTGATAGACTGAACGTCAACTTCGAGTCATGCTGTTCTGCTGTCTCCTGACATCGCGATTCCTAAGGGCAGGAGCGGTCCGTTTGAGCTCCGGCGCGGTTCCGAGATAGGTATCTGCTCTGGGACCGTGGGCTCGGTGTAAGTTCGACTCGTGAAAGAAACAATCTGGTGAACTCTCTCTTTTTCCCCAGGAGGGTGGCGAAATGCCGCGGCGTTCATCGACCTTGGACAGTTCTCGTGATATCGACTCTGATTTCGGCGTCATTCGTGTTCCGTGCGACGACAGCACAGCAATGCGCGGAAAGCAATCGAGTAAATTTCCCTGGATTCGCTTGCTGCAACGACACATTGTGAGTTTTTTCCACGACTTCCTGAGCCAGCGAAGGAGGCGATTGATGTGAGGTCGGCAACGAATGCTGCCGGTCGGAGATTCAGAACCCTCTCAGATTCCACGGTCATATTATCTTTTCAGAGATTCGGACAGTGGTTGGAAACTGTTGTGCTCAACGGACGGTGAAATTCCGACGGAGCCTCCAGAAGCTGAAGCTGCAACAGAGCCGACGGAGATCGATGCGACGGATCCCAACCGATTGAGCAAAGCCGTCAGAGTCGCGAACGGAACCACGGCCCAGCAGCAGGAAACGGTTCCTACGACCGAAGCGACTCGGAGAGACTTCGCCGCGGGCGATCCCTTGAGCGAATCGAACAGCCTCCAGCCCTCTGGCAGACCCGCCCCCGCTGCCTCCACCGAGACCGTTGAAGTCGGTGGGGATACCGAATTTCCGGAACGGAATGGTGAGTTTAGATTTCTCGCTTCACCGCTGCTGCACCGGGAGTCTACGCGTCCCGAAAATCCTCTGACAGCTCACGGTCTTCTCCCTCCTAATCTTCAATAACTCCGGCAACCCTTGCAGCGACCACAGAACCCTCTACGGCACCCAAAGATCCCAACGCACTCCTCTTTCCCCTGGAATATCCGTCCGCAAACTCGATCGAAATGCCGCCTGCATTCGTTACGGAAGCACCTGCACCTTCCGTGCCGAGTCAAGCTTCGACCACGAGCCTTCCCGTAACGTCTCCCGCTTCTTCCTCTCCAGTCTCCAGCCCTGATTCTGTCACGAAGCCCGACTTCCCTGTGACCCCCGCTCCCACCCGCTCTCCTTCTCCTCCTCAACGACCTCCTTCCTCCTTGCCGCCCACGTATCCATCTGTACGAGAAACTCAGATGCAGCACGAGACCTCGAAGAAACCGCTGATTTTCCTCTCGAAGAAAACTCCGAAGGGGGTTTCGCTGTTGAAAGAAACTTCGAAAACGCTCCCGGATCTTGGGACACTCATCTTGTCGCGGTCTGACGATCCTGAATTACCGAAGATTTCCGTAGACTCTCTCCCGACGATTGTGAATCCCGCAATAACTCGATCCCCAACCCCCACCCCTCCTTCCCGAATAACCGAAAACAAATCACAGACGTTGCTTCCGGCTATCTCCCCGGCGAAACCGCCAGTTTTCACCCCAACCCCCACAAATGGGGCCTCTCAAATTACGTTGTCCAGAACTTCATTTACAACGACATCGCACATTGAAGCAACGACACACCGAGTTCCTCCTCTGGAGTTGCCGGCGTCGATCTCTTCCGCAACGGCCCCTGCCTCGTCGGTATCGGCGGAATCTTCTATCCCCGCGACGTCTGCGGACGCCGCCAAGGAATCGAGGAAAGATGAGGTGATGACAGAAATAACTTCAAACGCAGCCAACGTTCCGGCAAGTTCGTTTCCATCGCTCGTTACGCATCGGTCAACCAAACTACCCGTAACTCCGAAACCAGAAACAGCAGCCGATCAAGAACTTCGGCTTTCTTCAACCAGATTCTCAGAACCGTCGACGACGCCAGCTTCGGTAGGGCTCTCGATACGGCACGAAATACGTGAAAAATCTTTAAAGTTTCTGTTTGCTAGAATCATCTCCTCCCAATCCAAGGACCCCGTTTTTCGCTTGCATCCAAAATCTGACTTCGTTCCAGAAAACTCGGTCACGGAGATCTGCTGTCGGAATCGATGATTTCATCCTGAGCTCGGAATATGAAGCCGTAGATCCGGCTGTCGAGATCGAGTACCACAAGAAACCATTCGGTTCAAGCCTCAAGGTGGGTGGTCGAGACGAACGACTAGTTTGCCTCCGCGGGAAATTCGGGGAGTCACATCTGGACATCTAGAAAAATCGTCAATCGTGAACGGATCTGGCGATTAGAGGGATTGATGCTCTAGATACGCTTGGCGCCATTTTCCTCTCAAAGAGGACATCGTCTTTAGCTGACTTCTTCTCCGCAGGTGCTATGCAACGCGGCCTCCCCGAATGTTCCGTCTTTGTTCAGACACCTGCGTGTCGCTGACGTGACGAACGTTGAATTTAAAAATTGTTCCGTCCCGCAAGGAAGATTACGGTACTCGAAACTGCTCGGTGAGAATCATCAATGATCATTCGATGAGAGTATGAATGGGGATTCCGAATCGGGACAGCAAATCATCATTCATTATCTTCTGAATTTAAATCCAATCGACCCGATATTCCAGAGGGAAACCGGGCCAGCGTCAGCTACTTCGAGCTGAATCAGCCCCACGGCTTGCCGGACGGCGTCCTAGCCGGAAAACTGTTCGACGCGATTGCGCCTTCGATTGTTGAGCTGCACATCACTCGTTCTAGCGCCGGGGCCACGCCTATCGTTTCATTAGACGCCGATTTTTTCGGCAATTTCACTTCGTTGAAAGTTCTGCGACTCGTCTCGAATGCTCTCACCACTCTACCGCCTTCGTCTTCAACCCTCACGAAGCTGCTGCACTTGGATCTGTCCATGAACCGGATACAAGAGGTGACTTCATCGATGTTCACCGGACTCCAATCCCTGACGAAGCTCACGCTCAGCAAGAACCCGATCTTGAATTTCCAAGCGAAACCTTTCGTCTCGTTGAAACGACTGTCGACGCTCGAGCTCAATGCAATAAACGTGACCGAGGTGGGCGACGACATCTTTGACGGGCTGGAATCCTTGAACTACCTCAAAATGGAATGGTGGTTCAATATAAGGCGTCTGCCCGAGAACATTTTCGGCAGGACACCGGCTCTGGTGGTTCTCATGATGGGCGAAGCTTTGAACTTGGAGGGATTACCGGACGGGATCTTCGCTGGACTCCCGAATCTCAACACAACGAGTCTTCGGTCGTGCAATTTAGCGGTGCTCCCGCCGAAACTCTTCGCTGCGACCTCGAAATCACTGAAAATCGTGGATCTGTCTAATAATCGACTAAAAGATTTGCCATCCGAGCTCTTCTCGGAGAACACGAAAGTTGAAAAACTCACCCTCGCGGGAAATCAGCTCGAGAAGCTTAGCGACGAGTTCAAGATGCTCTACGTGCTCAGAGAACTCAATTTGATGAACAACAACATAACTAAAATAGGCGAGGACGTCTTCGAACATCAGATCAATCTGCAGATACTGAATCTCGCCGCAAATAAGATCAAGGAAATCGACGCTAAGGCTCTGTATCACCTGAAGAGATTGGAGAGCCTGTACCTTCAAGATAATCTTCTCGAATCCTTCGGCAGTACGATCCCGACGTTCAGCAACGGGAGCCCGATTCGGGAGATCGTTCTGGCTCGGAATCGTTTGACTTCGTTTCCGAGGATCCAGTATCAGAGTCTGCCGAAGTTGGCGATGATGGATCTCGACGGCAACTTGATCACTTTCTTCGCCGTGCCGCAGTTCATGAGTCAGTCGACGAAAGTTTTCGTGAGGAAAAATCGGATAGATTTCGTCAGCGTCGACCTGGCTAAGAACTTTCCGAAAATCGACCCCAAATACAATACGGCCGTAGGAGACCACGAGTTCTATCTCGATGGGAACCCCTTCAAATGCGATTGTAACATCTATGGCATGGTACGCTACATCCGTAAAGAAATGAGACGAGAAGTCGCTGAATTCGTCAATGCCGACGAGTACAAATGCGCCGGGAATGACGAGGCCCTCTTGAAGCTTCGACTGGACATGCTTTCGTGCAAATCGACTGAATCCTGCCCATCGGGATGCGATTGTTCTCTGCTCGCTTTCGACTCATCGCTGCACGTTTCGTGCAAGAACATGGGACTGACCAATGTCCCGGATCTCCCCGTAAACGTGACGCATCTCGATTTCGATGGGAATCTCCTCACAAAATTCCCGGAGGAGCTGAAGACTTACAAAAAACTCCGGGAAATCGTCCTGGACGACAACAACATCACGAATGTCGATGCTGTATTCGCGGGCAAAACCCCGCTATCCCTCGAGACGTTGTCTCTCGCAGGGAACCGGCTGGAAAGGCTCCGGTCCCCAGCAAGGAACACGACTTTCCGAATAAGTCTCAGTCGGAATCCGTGGATCTGTGACTGCTCGGCCGTCGACTTCAAACACTTCATCCAATCAAACGTGGCAAATATTCCCGATTTCTCGCAGATCCAGTGCGGGAAGCCATTCCTTGTGAACGGGACTAAGATTTCGTTGATCAACGAAATTCGTGACGAGACTTTCTGTCCCCCGGACACGTCGGCGTACCGCGCGACGATAATCGCGATCTCGATAGCGTTCCTCGTCGCCTTGGTCTTGATCGCGTTGTACTACAAGAACCGGCAGCTGATTATCGCATACGTGTATATCCACTTCTACAACATTTTCATCTGTTTCTTTAACGAAGGCGACCTCGACGAGGACAAGAAGTTCGATGCGTTCATTTCTTATTCCACCAACGACCGAGATATCGCGATGGCCATACTCCGAGAACTGGAGAAACCTCAGGGCGATGAGAGCGGCGAGAACCTATTCAAGTTGTGCATCCATGAAAGAGATTGGCTACCGGGCTACAACATTTCGTGGAACATCGTCAACTCGGTACAGAACTCGAAGCGGACCATCCTCATACTGTCACAGGATTTCCTAAAATCGTTGTGGTTCGAAGTAGAGTTCCGCACGGCCTACGTGCAGATGATGGAGGATCGAATCAATCGTTTGATTGTCGTCATAAAGGACGAACTCCCTCCGAAGGACACCCTGGATTCTGATCTCCGCTATCTTCTCAGCACAAAGACCTATCTTGAATGGGGTGAGAAATGGTTCTGGGAAAAACTGAAGTACGCAATGCCGCACAACGGTAACCTCAGCGGACCGATCAAGAATAAGCTGAAGCCGTCCGAGCTGCATAAGGTAAGGCTGGATGCTCGAATCTCTCATCATAAGATCTCGATGGTCCCCTTGGGCGAGAACTCCCAGAGCGAAGGAAATGATTCAAAGCCTCATCCTCATTCTCTTCCAAATCTTATTCACCTCAACTGTCTTTCCAGGTTCTACCGATGAACGTCATCCTCAACAAGAACAACATTCCGAGCAGCGAAACGGTCGTTCGGGTGGAAGAATCGATCGAGAGTGCGCGCGAGAAACGCAGCAGTCCCGATGATTCGACATACGGTAGCATGAGCGATTCGTTGCGCGATTCGAACCTCCAGAGCAATAGAGGAGGTGTCAAAGGCAATGAAGGGCATGTGAATCGAGGCTACGAGCCGGTTAGCACCGAGAACATCCACGCTATAAGCTCGCAACCCGACCCACAACCGAATGAGCCGAAGCCTGTGCCTCGAGCGAGCCGCAAGAAAGAAGCCCCGAAACCGAACGTAGGAAAGTCTACCGAAAGTGCAGACCAAGAGTGTGTCGCTGCCCCCGGCGAGAAAAAACCTCCTCCGGTCAAGTCAGCCAGAGTTCGTCCGGGCTCTGTGCCCCAGGCCCAATAGTCAAGTACGCAGCTCTCGTCAGGAACGTCAGGATACAAAAAAATTCTCTCGAAGAAGAGCAATGAATCTCCGAGTTCGGTTGAGGATTGACGGGTGATTCGATCGTGTGGGTCCGATTCCTTCGACGCGGTTCGCGCTCTCATACACTCACAGTAGCCATGTGTAAATATAATAGGAATGTCTGTGAATACCTGAATAGGAACAAACTTCAGTAGTCATTTGAGAGGAGAACTGGCATTGAGCGAAATTGAACAAGAGGGAAGTTCGCGCGCGAGGAACGCGCCTTCAGCCTCTCCGCGGGAGACTGGCCCAGGTAGCGTCTTGAGGCTGCTTCCAAATGCCTCAACTCACTCGAGCACCCGGGCGGGAGTCATATTTATCATCGAGAGAGACTCCCGTGATGTGTTCTGTAAATAGATATGTAAATAAAGAACTACTTTCATACGTTTGTCGGACCCGGAATTTTTTGACCGAGGGAGAGAAGGCCTGTGGTGCCGAAGATCGTCCGTTTGTCGTTCGGAGGTCGTTTCACTAAGAATTCGCGAGACTTTGGCGTAATTCTCATGATGATTGAAACCATACTGCATCATTTAAATCACAAACATCCGATGGGAACAGGCAGCCATCATCTTCACGTCGGTATAAACAGAATTAGCTGCATAAACGGAGACCGTGTGGTCTACCGATAGCTTCTGCTAGACTATAGCGGCGCGGCGCGCCGAAACCGAACTGTGGTCCACCTCGCTCTCGGCAAGCTCTCCGGTCAGACAAGAGAGCACCAAGTGGTAATCCTCTACTGATAGTGCTCGCCAGTCGCGAAGGATCTCAATAGGGAAGGACAGTGAGAGCAGACAGCTGCCGCGTGGGAACTATAATGGGAAAATCGAACTGCCGCCCGTCGATAAATCCATTATCCGCGGTGGAAATGAAGCAGTGCTGTGCTCACCGCGAAAAATCGCGCGATTCGAACTTTCGTTCTTGTGTTGTGGACTCTGGCGATCGCCCTTGCATATGATCGAAGTTCGAACGGGGCACGGACGGGAACCTCATGGAAATATGGGAGCTCATACGGTGAGGTGCGTCTCAGATTAAAAAAAAGTCGACTGACGGGGTCGGAATATCGCGGGATCGGAGACCGATAGGTTTTCCGGGGTTAGACTCGTCGGGCTCCGATTCCTAAAGCTCTCCCACATTCGAGGGAATAGAAATAAATAGGCAAGCCATGAGGTCGCGGCGTCGATGTAGAGCTGGTAAGCCTGGTCATACAGAGCGGCCTCCGCAATTCTATCTAAGTTGAGATCATCCGCAGATGAACAGTGTCGCTTCTAATTATCTAAATTCGAAGGGCTTGTGTGATTTCACAAGGAGCGATTTCCATTGTTTTTGCGTTCTAACTCTGCACGAATTCCGTGAATCCGTCGATTGATGTAGGTACGTGCTTTTCGGACGCCTTTTTTTTAATTTGGCTTGATCCGGCCGAAGGCATGGCTTATTTCTCATTCGAGATCTTCAACATTTGAGAGCATCCGAAGATCCTTCAGCGAGCGCATTTCCGAGGCAGCTCACTGAAGCTCAGGTGGCCCACATCGTTCCCCGGCTTGGGGATGCATTCGGGAAGCTTTTTTCCCTAAATGAAATCCCATGAGTATGAAGTTCTCCCAGCTTCTCCCATAATGTGAGTTGTATCGAGATTCCCGGAAATAGACATCATGGGGCTTCGATTCCTACAAATCCACTTTTGGAAACCGAATTCAAGAGGCTTATCGGACCATCCCTGTCAGTGCTGGGAGACTTCGCCGCGCTTGTGAGGGAGTCTTTCCAAGCAATCCTCGAGCATCGTCCGATTCCGATCGTAATCACCGAATCATCATTCTCGGATCGCTCTCACTAAGATGTTACGTTCGCATGTCACAACCCGATGCCTCTACTCTGGCGTGTACGACGTGACATCGAAGAGGGCCGCTGCCCGACCGTCCGTACGCCGAATGCCCTGTTGTCGCTGAGCTCCGATCGAAATGTGATCGTGCTCAGATTAGGAACCATCGAAGGATCGAGGATGCAGGCCTTGGCTGCTTGAGGGGGTGCGTCCAATGTTCCAATGTCGACAAAAGCTCGACGCTCTCCACCGAACCCATGCCCGAGTCCTATTCCGAAGACTCTGTTGAGATTTGTCGTTGAGAACTGAAGCTTAGGCAAGAGCAAGACACGGTTCCTCTGCTTCTCGGTAAAGAATGTGGAAACGGAGCTTCTATTAGATTCCTTTTATAAGCTTGGTGGCGGGGAGATTCGAGAATCTAGAATATTCCAACAGACTCCTCTAGAATTTTTCTTCGTCCATGTGGACCCCCTTGCAGAGGACAGCTCGCTCTCGTAGTCGTCGCGCTGACTGCTTCCGCCTTTTCCGTAAGTGTACCTTGCGTCCGCAACGTGGAGTTCAAGTTCGACCGATTCACTTGCTGTAGAGAGGAAATGTGAGTTGAGCAGCGAGGTGTCACAAGATTGCGTCCACTTTCTTGATTTCGCCATCTCGGTAATTTTTCGACTTGGATCATCATATAGATCGGATGGGATCACTCGAAGGATCCATCGAACGAGAATCTCTATCTGGAGAGTGATTGATATTTCTAGAGCCGACTACGCGGGTTTCACGCTGATATGCAACATGCGAGAGAGCATCACCGACCGAATTTCGCAGTGGGAAAGGATTGCGAGTGATCATACGGAGATTCAGTCGACTTCCGAAGACATTTCCAGCCCGCTTGATTTGAGTGATCCAGCAAGGTATGATGATATCAACTTCGGGCCGCAGACCTACGGATTCGTCATTGAATATCGTCAGTTCAAGAAGATACAAATCATGTCAGTAAGTGTTCTCATTGATGCTTCGCTGAATGAGCCGAAAATGGCTAATGTGACTTCCGAAGCAAGAAAGGCCTCTCAGCAGCTTGCGTGATTCATCCCTGACACAGTCTCTTCCCCCAACAGATAGATTGCCGGACAGCGACACCCAACTTGCCGTTCTTGCTGCGGCATATTCGAGTCGAGAGGGTCACGACAGTGAGTTATAGCTCCTGCGAGTTTCCCGGAGGGAATTTGACGTTCCGGGAGATTTTCGGTACGTTTGGAGCCATGGAAGGATATCGTGTCGGAATACGAATACACACATCGAATACATCAAAATCTGCTCAGGTGGCCGAGCTTGCATGAGAGATGACACATATATTGAAAGGATGTGGAGGGTCACTTCTCTGGGAACGATTAATGCCGAGGACTCCCTGGAATTCGACTTCCTTTTTACAGACGGGAACCGAGTCGCCGTGAGGAAGCTCTCGCTCCTTGACCCCGTGAATTGCACGAACTGCCTTCTTCATCGTCCTCTGTTCGACGGCTTTGCCGCGGAAATCGATGAGTTCTACGTCAACAGCCAGGACCGAAGCATCAGAATGAGCGACGACTTCTTCGAGGACTTCCGGTCGCTACGAAACCTCCAATTCCGCGGTCGAGCTACGGCGTTGCCTTCATCGATCGGGAAGCTTTCCCAGCTCTCGCGTCTCGACATCTCAAGCAACTGCATGAGAGAAGTTCCGTCGAATATCTTCACGGGTCTCACCTCATTGACAACCTTGAGCATCATGTCGTTCCCGGCTGAGAAGTTTTCCCCCCGTCCCTTCGCCCGACTCAAGAAGCTCGAGCAACTCAAGCTGGGTGGGATGCGGATCGAAGACTTAGCCGACGATATATTTTACGGACTCGACAGGCTCTCACGGCTCGAAATCAGCGACTGGAATCTCCGGAGTCTCCCTGCGACTGTGTTTGCGAACACTCCCAAACTGAAATGGATTGAGTTCGCCTTCCTGCCTGATCTCAAAACCCTTCCAGAAGGTCTTTTCCGGAGCCTCGAGCGATTGGGAACGATCTTGATAAGTGACTGCGGTATCGAAAAGCTGCCCATCAACCTGCTGCCCGTAACTGGACTGCAGATCCTGAGCATCACGAGAACTCATCTTCGAGATATTAAAGCCGGGTTCTTCCCGTTAGGTTTCGAACTTCAAGCCCTTACATTGGCAGACAATGAGCTACAAAATGTTGAATCCGCTCTGAAAAATCTTCGCGGCTTGATAGCCCTAAGCCTTACGGGGAACAGGTTGACGAGAATCTCAGCAAACTTCTTCGACAACCTGTTCGATCTGATGTCCGTGGATCTCAGCTATAATCACATATCGAGTGTCGATCTCCAGGCTTTCATTAGACTCGGCGATCTACAAGGGCTCTATCTGAATAATAATTTTATTCGGCGTCTCGAGGCGATGGAGCCAGTTTTTCCGGAGTTCAGCCAACTCCGAGAGATCAACCTATCGAGCAACTTACTCACTACAGCCCCAAGACTGCAGCTCGAGATTCTGCAAAATCTCAACGAGCTGAACTTGGCTAACAATTCAATCACGTCTTACGAGCTGCCGACTTTCATGAGCAGACGAACACAGGTGAATCTCGAAGGAAATAAGATTGGACTCATCTCGATGAAAAACATCGCGAAGCACTTTCCCAATCAAATCGGAACGCACGAGTATAGAATCGCCGACAACCCGATCAAGTGCACCGGCGAGAATTTCGAATTCCTCAGCTATATCAAATTCGCCAACGAGAAACGGAAAGACCGTTTCACAGACGTCCCAAGCTGCTTCTGCGCGGGGTCGAACGAAAGTGTACTCGACGTTCGCCTGGAGGAACTCTTCATCGACTACCAAGATTGTCCGGAGGTCTGCAAATGTTACTTCTTCCCTCTAGACGGTTCTATCAAAGCTGATTGCGGCAACCGAGGCCTGACAGAAATCCCGAGACTTCCGTCAAATCTGACTCATCTGGCTTTCAATGACAACGCGCTGGTGACCTTTCCCGAGGAACTATCGAAATATCGAGCCCTCAAGGTGGTCAACCTAGACGGTAACCGGATCCGATCCATCGAATTCATGCTCAGATACGCTCCTAAAGGCCTCGAAATGCTCTCCTTGCGGCGGAATGATCTACGCAGATGGCAGCCCGACCGCGAGAAGCTTCTGGATTTCAACTTGGACCTCTCTGAAAATCCGTGGATTTGCGACTGCGCGACGAAGAACTTCAAGGATTTCCTGCTGGAAAACTTCAAACGGATCGAGAACTACCGAGAGATCAGATGCGAGAAACCTATAAAGGTCAACGGGGAGCCCGAGTTCATCCTGAGCAAAATTCTTCCACGAGATCTCTGCCCTGTTGAAAAAACGACCTTCATTATTCTCGGTCTAGCTTCCGGCCTCGTGCTCTGCACCTGCTTCACGTTACTCGCGCTATACTACAAACATAGGAATTTGGTCGTCGCTTTCACCTACATTCACTTCCACAAAGTGTTCGTCTGCTTCTTCAACGAAGAAGATCTCGACGAAGATAAAAATTTCGATGCCTTCCTCTCCTTCTCCGCGAAGGACCGGGATGTCGCAATGGAAATCTTCCAACGCCTCGAGCTCGATGCGGCAGACAACGAGACTATTGCTGAGCCCTTCAAATTGTGCATTCACGAGCGGGACTTCATGCCTGGTCAGACGATCACGTGGAATATCCTCCACGCGGTAAGGAGTTCTCGACGGACCATTCTGATACTCTCTAAGGAGTTCCTCGAGTCCACGTGGTTTAAAATCGAGTTCCAAGCCACCCACGATCAAATGCTCGATGACCACATCGACCGTCTCATAGTCGTCATCAAGGGGCAGCTCCCACCCTTCGAGAGTCTGCATGAAAATCTCCGGGCCGTCCTGAAAACTAAGACCTATCTTGTTTGGGGAGAGCGATGGTTCTGGAAGAAATTATTGTTTGCTATGCCGCACAAGAATCGCCGGACCGGGAGGAACAGGGCGGGAGTACCCTCACCAGCGCTTGTCGGGAGCAACGAGAGCGTGGCGTCGGATACCCCTGTCTGAGACTGGATGCGTCGAAGTGGGCTCCGCCGTGTCCCGCCGTGATTATATGAAGAGGGATCTGATATCTGAAGCTCGACTTGGGCCTACTGAATACAGCCGTAGACGCGAACCTCCCCACAGATAAGCTGCCGTGATCGCAAGCAGCTTGAGACTCGTGTGAGAGGAGGCTTCAGTAGAGACGCCTTCGTCTTCAAGAAGAAGGTCTAGCTACGAGAGAGGAGTTCCCTCGCTCAGAACTCCGGTCGTCTTCATCGTTTTCCTTTTGAAAACGACTCGTCACTATTGTTCAGACCTCCTGAGAGATCCGAATGCCGAGAGTAGTGAAATGGGGACCGAATCGCATGATGCGACACGGATGTCTGTCAATACACGGATGTCAGTGATCGTACGCTCGAATCTCTGGTGCTCTAAAACCTCCCCGTGTGATCCGGGAGCCGCTCGTAAAAAATATATATATATGTATATTGAGGAGGAGTCGGGACGAATTCTAGATAGATGTCAGAAGATAAATGACAAGCTTAGGAACGCGATGATCCATGTTCGGAGCTGCCTTCTTTGAGTTATAGCCAAGATGCACTTTGGGTCCCGTCGGTCTTTTACGCACACTTAGCGAGAGCAGACCATGCTGGACAGTGAGATGTTTTCTGTCTTGTAGAGCAATGAAGTGCCATCCACTTACTTCATCTATTTCTCACATCCCAGTTCCATTAGATAGATAGACTGAGGGCTCGCGACAGACCGGAAAGAATGATCGTGACTTAAACTACTCGAAGCACAAGACCAATAATAATCAGCTCCGGAGTGCTCATAGAGACAGACCAATTGTTCCGACGCGGGCTCGAGAGTCTCAAGCTGCTCCGGCTCTCCGGAGAAGATCGTATCCTAGGAATCAACAACGCCTGCGCAGGCATACCATGGCGATCCCAAGCGGGGGAGAATCAGTGCCTATCTGATTCAGAGCACGCAGCAGACTCGTGAGCTCTGACCGGATGTTCCCAGAGTATTTCGCCGCCTTCGCCGCGTGGAGCCGGGAAGATTTCGCCAGAACTCAGTCGTCGCAAGCGAAGATCACCCTCCCTGCTCTCCCCTCACGGCTCATCGAGCCGCCCGGTCGATACTGTGGCTCCCCTACTTCACGGAGCACTCCAACGGCCCATAGCTAGTCTTATTCGACCCTCGCTCCACCCCGTCCGAAATTCTAGTTCGTTATAGTGCGCGGAGTCACTTTCACTGCCTTGCACACAGCTACACCTACGCGATTGCAGAATCCGGCCTCGCAACCCAACCCTGCGCATGGGAGGCCCATCCTCGAGTCCTGCTACGCGTCCTCGGGTTTTCCAACAAAGACTTCGCTTGCACATTGCATTGTCTCGCACCCGTTCTCTGGGTCGCTCCACCTTCTCGTGAGCTCGACCATGCAGAAAATACACTCTCATCGAGTACCACAGCTCAACCAGGATGGCCAATTTTTTTTCCAAAAACGGTGCGGCGGACTGTGATCCGTGCCAGTGAGATCAGATGATGCCTACTCTATCAAACGAGTTTCGAAATTCGAAAGCAGTGCGGCGTTTACCGCTCCTTTTCTCGGCTGGGCGCCCTTGTGTTTTAGAAGTCGAGACGCACCTGGCTGTATGGAAATGCTTCTTGGCCAGAGACACCAATCTGTCTTTTTCGGCAGCACATCCCGCTTGAAACTGCGACGCGCAGTAGCTGCACAAAAATGTTGATCTCGGCGTAGTCGATGAGGGTAACACACCGCGTGCTCTCATCAAGCCCTTTTCGTCAACAGCAATCCCCGAATATTGGACGAAACCTCAGCGATTCTCGTGCAAGATTTTCCAGCACAATTTCCCTCTTCCATGGGGATGGGCCAGGAGCTTCCTGAAGGCTTCTGGAGAACATCGCTGTTCCCGGGGACGCTCGTGTGCTGAAGCTCGAGAACTCTATAGCTTCCCTGTTTCGTTTGAGCTCAATCTAGAAATTAATCTCTCGGACATGAGAGTATACCGCAAGGGCTGGCAGAAGAAGCATGGTTTCGGATGCGGCGGCGTCCGTTGCACCGCAGCGATTGTTTCGTCTCGGAGAAAGCGGAGTCCAGAAAGGTCCGAGTCATTGCCCTCCATAGAGCCTACCCTTGTTCTTCGAATCGAGGTACGGAGTGATCCGAGATTAGAGAAGGTGTCGTTCCTTCCGTCTTCAGCAGCACTGAAAGAGTCGTGGCGATGAAGAATGATGTGAAAACGGAATTCGTGTAGGGTCATCTGAGACCCTGGTTCACGGAGTTACTCCATTCACCTCGCAATAAGGGCCGCGGGAAGTCTGCTGATGATGACAGTTCCGCTTACGACCGGAGTACACTTCGCAAGCGCCGGCGCCGGGTTGGGTACTTTTGTGACAACGAAACCGCAGCATTCATCGCATATGAGCTCGAGCAAGCTGTGATGGACTCCGAACCCCCTGCGGAAAGCTAGCTTCGACTACCTGAGTCTTCTAACCTACGCACGAGGATATGGAGCATTCACGCTCTGAGCGGTAGACCTTGGGGGATTTCGATTCGCTCTCTGGTACCTTCGGGAGCCACTTCCCCGCGGCTATGTAGCCAAGTACGTCGGCGCCGGCATCTCAATTTGTCGCATCAGTATCAACCAAACGCTCCACGATGCCGTCATCGCAAAATCGTATGCCTCCGCCTCTGTTTAGAAGTATTGGGTCGACCGGGAGATTAACCCGCCGACTCCGCGAGCGGAGCGGGCGAGCGCTCATGTTCTTCCTCGAATTCCTCTCCGAACCTCATGAGTCTCACGCGGGGTTTGTCTCCGGTCGAAAGCTGAAGCTCTTCAGCAGATGACATACCATGCGCGGGAGCGGCCTCCGGTTGGCGATGGGTCCCACAGATGAAGGAGCCCGCCGGTATCCTCTTTTAGCGCACCGCGATCTCAATGGAGGCTCCGACTGGAAACGGAAACATTAGAGTCACGAGCGATTCTTTTCATACATTCCGCTGGCCGGAATCGCCCATCAAGTCGCGAGCGTTCAGATGGTAGGTACATTATGGCGATGATGAGTGATTCCGCCTCACCGGAGCGAACCAAACCAGGTCGGGAAACGAAATAGGTCGGTGATTGGAGAGGGTTGATGTTGGGTCTGTGTTGGGTTATCGCATCTGTTTCCCTTTTCTTCCACTCTGATCGTCGCGATTCCTACTCCAAGGGTAGTCAGTCGTATTGATTGTCATCGAGGCGAATCTGATCGGAATGATGCTGACAGGAATCCTTATGATGATTTCTCCATTCGGATTCCAGTGGTCTCTGGTACCTGAGTCGAAACGAGCCTGATCGTACTAGAATTGTGTCCTGCGAGGATTCGGCACTAATGATGGCTTGAGAGGCTTGGATTGACAGACGGCATGCTCGTCATTCGAGCGGAATAGATATCCCACATCGCGGCTATGATCTCGCGGTGGAAAGTGATCGTAGCGGCTTAAAAAACTTCATCCCCAAGTTCAAAGTGCTCTCCGTGTAAAACTCTCGCTAAACCACGTTGGAGACACCGGACTAGACGGTCTTAGATATGGAGCTCTCTGGACCGAACCTACGGCGTAACGGACCAAGGTGAGGAGTCCGAGCATGACAACTAGCCAAACAAGTTTCGACTCAATTATTCAAGCTAGAAAGGTTTCGACAAGAAAAAAATGAAGCGGGGCTACAGGATTCGGAGCGTGATCGCTGAGCCGCTGAGTTGTGCTTATGGTTTATGGCCCTCTGGCGGTGAGCGCATGCGCGAGCGGCTATGCCATGTAAATAAGAGAATGCGAGACGCTCATGAGCAGAACACAGCGTGACTCTTTCTCTCGGCACAGGAACCTCGTGTGGTGGAGTTCTGGTGTCGAGGCCAACATTGAGACATTCTAAGGAATTCTCAATATTGGCCTCTGAACTGCGAACATATCTTTCCGCCTTTAATCTCTCTGTTGATCGGAGTAACTTCAGCCGGGAATCCTTTCGTTCCCGAGGAGCTCCGGAGAAACTATCGGCTACTTCGCACTCATTTCATACACGGCGTCCCTCCCGGTAAGCTTACCTTATCAGCTCATGCAGAGAATCGTCTCTCGCAATCGCTTTGAAACCTAGACGGACTGATCGCGGGCTGACATCGCGATCCTTGATGATCGTATGATACAATCGTCGGTAGAACTGCACATGTGGCGGCTTTGAGGCGGCTGGAATCGCAAGCTGATCGGATTGCCGGAGCTTGAATCGGTCCGTCGAGTAGTAGACTTCCCTAGAAATCATCCATCTCTAGTCGATGCAGTGGCGTAGCCAGGACGGGGCGATCGAGCGTTCGTCCCCCTTCCCCGTGATTTTTCCCGAACCGTGTCAGGGCGACGCCTGTCTGCTCCCATGACGGCTACGGGCGTGAAAATCTCGGCATTTCAATTCAAACGTTCACCCGTTCCGCCGAATAACTTGTAGTAGACGCCATTGCAGCTTGCGAAACTATTTATAACTTTTATATCGGCATGAGACCGAGATCTGATGATTCTGTGAATCTCCCGCGGAGCTCGAAGAAAAATTACGCCCTCACCCCCCAAAAAAATGGGGTTTCTATAGTGCAAGATTTTCTGGATGCGGAAGATTCTGAGAGACGGTCTTAACTCCAGACAGAGAAAACACGGTCACGATCGGTAAGGGGTCTGTTTGGCTGGTGAATGCAGCCCGGCAGCTCGCTGTCTTTAACGGATGCTGTGAGGGACACGTGTACTAAGCCCATGATCTGACTCACTGTGTCACTGTGGGAGTTCTACCTTACTCGGAGAATTCGGGCAATATCTTCCTCCTCAATCCTTTACCTGAGGACGTAGGATAAATGAGGCTCGGCAATCGTCTTCGAAACGAACATTTTATTATTCAAAGATCGTCAACGTATCTGGAACGATTTCGTTTCACTACAACCGTATTCTCTCGATTTATATCCATCGGATCGTAGCGCTACCGAATCGTTTTTCCATAAGGCACCTCGTATGGGATCGTTCTTCTTCTAATTATTTATCAGGAGCGTGGAGAAGGCCGTAGTGGCAGTATCGGATAGCTGGAAGCTCGAGAAAAAATTCCGCCCCCACCCCCAAAAAAAATGGGGTTTCTTTAGTGCAAGATTTTCTGGATGCGGAAGATTCTGAGAGACGGTCTTAACTCCGGACAGAGAAAACACGGTCACGATCGGTAAGGGGTCTGTTTGGCTGGTGAAATGGTGAATGCAGCCCGGCAGCTCGCTGTCTTCAACGGATGCTGTGAGGGACACGTGTACTAAGCCCATGATCTGACTCACTGTGGGAGTTCTACCTTACTCGGAGAATTCGGGCAATATCTTCCTCCTCAATCCTTTACCTGAGGACGTAAGATAAATGGGGCTCGGCAATCGTCTTCGAAACGAACATTTTATTATTCAAAGATCGTCACCGTATCTGGAACGATTTCGTTCCACTATAGCCGTATTCTCTCGATTTATATCCATCGGATCGTAGCGCTACCGAATCGTTTTTCGATAAGGCACCTCGTATGGGCTCGTTCTTCTTCTAATTATTTATCAGAAGCGAGGAGAAGGCCTTGGTGGCAATATCGGATAGGTTGTTGGAGCCAGGAATTTCGCAAGCGATTCCAGGTTTCCAGCAATGCTCAAGGGATCTCATATAGAGCTCTACTCGGTCGGCAATCATAAATTCCCCTTCTGGTCTTTGGCAGCTCGGTCCACGGGAGAGGAGGCGGCGAGAGAAAGGATGCGAATACGTTGTGGCGGCACGGCCCTCACTTCTACGACGCAGTTCAGTGAGCGAATTGCCTTATCCTTGCGGGCACCACGACGGCGCTGGGCTCCTGCGCCACGAGCGACGCTAAGATCGGTAAGCCTATCGCTGATTTTGTTATTTCTTTGAGCGGAATAATCGTGATTCCGAGACCCTCAGGAATTCTGCGAGTTTGGCTCTCTGATACTTCGACGATGACCGAGAACTGAGTGCAACTACCCGGTTTACCATTCGAGAAAGTTCGAATCGGAAGTGATGAAATATCATGGGTGGCTAGCCCTAGATCTTTACAAGATACCGTCACTCGAGCACTCGATATCGTGCGAATATTGACCGTTAGTTGCGGGTAGCGAGTTCATGATATGCTCATGACGATGGGCTGGGCGAACGGCGGATAATCGGATTCATGTGTTTCTTTCACAGGTCAGCTCAATACCACCAAAGATCGCGAGCCAGCTGCGGAGCCTACGGGTCTCTAGTGCTTGATTTCCGAACGATGGCCAATCAGGATGATCTTCGTTTCCTTCGTCCGAATTCGAGGGTGAGTGTTTCCTGTGTTGCATGTCGGAGACGGAGAATCACGAGCGAAGTCCATCTGCTCGAGAAAAACCTCAGGCTGGTCGAGAACCTTCCATGGCTCTTCGTTTCGGGAACGGGTCGATTCAACCACCCTTCCCCAACAACGGAATTCGCCCGATCTGGGTGTTTCCAGAGAGTTCGAGCTGATCCTCGTCCGCTTGGAATAGATTAAGACTGCATGAGTCATCGCTCCCCGGGGACCTAGGCTTAAGAGCATAGACGCCTTGCTTCATTTCTGTGGTGCGACCTATGGATTCCATGCAAGCGTCTATGTTTCAACTTGATCGTTGAGAGGCGACACGACGGCATGTGGCTGCCACCGAGACCTGTGGCAATGCGGATCGTTCTCGAAAATAAGAGTCGCTGAACATTTCCGTCATAGCGTCAGGGAGGAGAATACACATGAATCGAATAGTTGTCGGGCGAAGCATATCACGACGCCGTCTAGGAAACGATCAGGTCCCTATATGGATAGGGACCGATCAAGCCGGTCAGTGGATTTTTTTGGTTGACTCCATGCAGCCAAGCGGCGTCCAGCACAGGCATCGCTCATGAGTTCTCAATGAGCGAGTCGATTGGCTGTGATCGTCAAGGGGATAAAGTCACAGGATCATCTCTCGGTGAAATACATGCCCGGGCATGTTCCGAACTGCGACGAGGTGCCCTTCCACCAGATAGTGCCTCGGCATCAGACATTGTTTATCTATTTTTCATCGCGGCCTGGAGTTACTCTCTTTCTGAAAGCAGGGCATATCGGAGGGTACCCGTTGATCATGGAGTGCCCTCGAATCGGTGAATATACGGGTTGTCGGAATCCGCATTTTTGCGGATGCGTAAGGTTTACCTCCGCTTGCTCCATGTGAAGAACCGCCGGGGAACTTCCCGTGGAAATCATGGCGTACGCACTCCTGCCCACGTGGGCGAAATCGCGAAAGAATAAGCTGTGAACTCCGTCTCGTCAGCATCCAAATTATTACCGTCATCCTCACACCCCATCAACCGGAACTCTGTCTCAATTACCGAAATTCGTATTTTCCAGGTGCTGTCTACTCCGACCGCATCTCCGCGTTCGTCTTACGAAGGGAAACTGAGAGCCTGCTACGAAGAATTGGCGAAACGGATTAAATCAAGGAATGTCGAATTTGAAGTATTCTACTGGCACTTCGTTGGGAAATTTGGAGACCATGGTAACGGCGCTGACAAAAACCTGTTGGGCGCGCAAGACCAAGCGGGTCTTTTGGAAGCCCTGCTTCTCACATTCACTGTGGAAATCCGGGATGGATACACCTACCTCCATCTCTCTCGGCCATCGAGGATGGACTCCCTCGGGATCCCTCAGAAACCTTTAGAGAAGGGTTCCGATGTGAACATCCGCGTGACGGAATGCTTCCGCGAAAGAGAGTTCATCCGAGTTAACTTCCACTTGAAAGAAAACGAAGCCGAGCTCTCACGGATACAAACCTTCATGAACCTCCGCGGACTCGGAGGTTCTGTGTCTTGCTCTAAAGGCCGTATCTGCGCGGCCCCCTACATGGGTCCCGACGAGGTTCGGGACGGCGAAACTCCCGTTTATGCCCGAGCGGTCCTGCTGGACCACTCCAGAAAGGACCGTAAGTGCGTGCGCGTGCGCTACATCGATTTCGGTAGTATTGATTTCGTGGAAAGAGCTGCCCTGCGCAATATCAAAGCGGAATTCCTGAAAACCCCGGCACTCGCGCTCAAAGGCGTCGTTATCAACAGCGCGATATCCTCGGCCGATCGGCAAAGTCAGGCAACCCGCATGCGGGATGCTGACGAGATCAGCGTGCGGGTCCTAAAGTATGACAGGAAACTGTACCAATTGTACGTGCATCCTACGCACGACTAAAGCGATGAAATAACTCACTCCGAGGCTTCCTGGCGGGGTAAATGTCGAGAAACGCGAAGATTCGTGTTGAGGTCTCCCATAATTTCTCGTCCGGATAAGGTGTGTCCATGTGTTCTTCTTGATCATCATGGCATGATGAAACCAGCTTCGGGCATCAGTTGACGGCTATGAAAGGTGTGTCAAGGATTTCATGTGGTTTTTCGAGCGTCTTGTTCGAAGCATGACTTTCTTGAGGGAACGAGGCGACGTTGATGGAGCTTGTCTTGTATTACTACTACTGACTGAGATATAATTGTTGGTATTCATATACAACTCTCTGATTCAGCTCGACTGCGATGTATTATCTCCGTTTTCCGAGCTGGACTTCGCGCCTCATACTTAATATTAGTCATAGCCTGCTCCCTTGAGCAGCTGATGTTTCGAAGTTCACAGGATTTAAGTTTCTCTATGGATTGTCTAGAGAAACTTCGGAGTGTGAATCGGAAGGTGGAGTTTGCGCTGCCCCTCATTCGATGTTTCTACGGATCGACCATGAGGGTCTAATCCTGTGTGTTGCGACGATACTTTACGCGAGATGTTCCTTTATTTACCGGCGATGAAGCGTCAATTTCTTCGGGGTCTTTGTCGATTGATTCCTTCGCTCCCGCGGGGGTTATTGTACGACTAAGAATAGGTCGTCGTGCGATCGGTGTCGATTTCCATCCTCGAGCAGGGCATGGGATCTGAGTCGTTCTCGATTGTACGGGCTGCACTGTTTGCAGACGGATAGTGATGTATTCTACATGTCGATTGAGAGCGTCCGACCTGGTCGGCACTCCGCGTTGAGATGGAAGCAATGAATCATTACAGGGGTATCGAAGGAATCCACTTTTGTGAGAAACTCATATTGAACACGGGGGGGATGGCTCTGGAAGAGAGCTCAAAGAGAAAGATCGAAACTCGATCTACGATCTCGCGTAGCTGCAGTTCCACAGACTCCCGCCCAGGATATATTTTTCGTTGTGAGGAATAAATTATATAAATCAGACTTCATGAGTAATTGGTTTTGTCCTCCTTCCTGTGAGATTCACCCAGATATGGAATTGCGATCTCGTCTCCTCGAGTCTTCCCTTGAGTTATAGTGCCTCAGAATGAGAATGATCCGAGAAATATTCATTCGGTATAGCTTCTTGATTTCTCCGACCCTCGGGGCATCTCGCCGAGACCTATTTGTTCATCCCGTGAGGAAAAAGGTAACTCGCCGGAATGCATCCTCATCAGAGCAAGTCCATACAATGGGGGGAAAATGAAACCGACAACCCAGAATGCTCCTCTTGGGCTCGCGCACTGATCCATGGGTTGCCGGGACAGCGGAACGTCCCGAGACTGAATCGTGTCCTGGAAGAGCCGGGGCGAAGTTCGGCGGGGGTTCATGAGCCCCACGGCGGCGATGGGATACTTCAAGCACGATACCGTCTCTAGACTCTTGATGCCTGTCTCGGGGAGCTCCAGTGGCTGCTCCTCGAGCCTGGGTCCCTCCGTGATCCGGCTCGGTAATTATTGAAGGGAGTCGAGGTCATGAACTCATGGAGATGCTCATGACTCATGATCCAGAACCTGCGGCAGAATTTTGCAGCGTCGGACGCCGAAGAGAGAACCCGCGAAAATGGTATGATACCATGTCATTTCTTTTATTTATCGTTCACTGTCGTGTCTGCTCAAGCAACTTCGAAGCGGAGGATTCGAGCTTAACGGTCCTCTCCTTCTTCAGACATCAGGGAATTAGTCGGGGAGAGCTGCATTGTCGAGTTCGGCTCTTCCGACATGATGGCGAGACTCGGAGAGCAGTCCAGAACCGAACTCGCTCTTGAGAACAGAATCCCAAGGTTTCATTTGCTCTTCCCCACCCATTCTCCCAAGAAAACTTGCTGCTGGTGGAATGCCGAGCGAGAATAGGAGATAACAAGCAGCGAGAAATTGATGAGATACGTCGTCACGCAAACGAGACAGAAATCGTGGAGGACGAAGTAGAGAATCGATGCCAAGTAGATGGACATCAGGTTGGCTGCTATCGAGAGCACTAAAATCACTCGTAATGTCGAGGGCCAATCCAGGTACCCCAGCAGAAACAGGAACGAGTAGAACACCACACCGTGCACGCTGTTCGACGCGTTGAGCGGAGAGTCTTCCCCGAGAATCTGTCCCGCGACTCCGAAGCCCCTCGAGTAGTCCGAAGTCAGAACCTTCGAGCAGCTCATGTGCTCAGATATGTCACATAGAGCGCGGTAATTTTCGTCGGCTGCCGCTGAATGTTTCACATGCAATGAATATAGAGACACTGAGATTCCGAAGACGCACAGCATTAGGTAGAGGGCTCTCATGGCGCTAGCGTGAGCTTCAGACGTCATTTTCGCAGCCAATGTTCGTCCAACGCCGGCCGTAGCTAGAGTGAAGTCACAGGAAGCGCGCTCCTTTTCCCGGACTCGCTCGAGGGGCAGATAGCTTCAATAAAACATGCAAATTCGCCGTGCCCCGCACTCGTGGAGGTCGAAGGTTCTCCTGACAAGGAAAAGGCTCTGCCCTATCTGCAGATATGCGTGAGCGCTGATTCGATTTCGAAATAGGGAGGATTAGCGCTCAGCTCGCTTTCGAACAACTGGAGCGCCCGGGACAACGTTCGACTGAAGACTTCTGCTGAGGAAGACGTCCAAGCTCCAGCAGCGTCTCCTTGGCTCCAGCTCTGCACGTCTGGGATCGCATTCACTCGATCTAACTGAATCAGTCAGAGACAATCGAGCTTCTATATGATGCCCCTCGATTTCCCTATCTGCATCTACATCGTAGGTGGCGCCACTGCGCTTTATTCTGGCGGCAAAGTTGAATTCTAGCCGTGACGGTTCGGGCTTCCTCAGTCAGGATCATGATCCTTCGTCCTTTGACACGCGAATCCTCACTCGGATAGTTCCGAGCGTCCGAAGTAAACAATTCCCTGATCATCTGAACCGTCATTTGCATGCGGCCTTCAATTTGAACTTTTCTCCAGTCCCCCGGGCCTTCCCCCCTCTGTCGGATGAATTCGTTCGGGTTCCGTTAGTAATGCAAGTTCCCCATGACACATGAGTGTGAGAGCTGTTCATTGTCCGACCCAAACGAGGGGCTCACCGATATCGAATGTCGACACATCTTCGATACTTCGGCGGGGGGACCTCTGATCTTGTTGCGACCGATCGGGGCAATTCGTCGAAACGATTACGGATTCGTGTTTACCGTCCCCTGTCGAGTTCCGTCCCGTCATGGGGAGAAGATTTATACGAGATCTTCAGAGACAGGCCGCGGGAACTCATTGACTGACTGATCCGATTCGTTTTGACCATTTCGCGAGCATTGACTCCTGTTTGATAGCCGAGGACCGCCTATGAGAATATGGAGGCCACCGAATTTCTCAGCACCTTATTCCGCGACCAGCAGAGAGCAGATCCAAGATACGTTTCAGATACCCCTGATCCGTTTCCTGCGGACGGAGAAATAAGTGCTAGGAAAATCGAAAATTGTGCATTCAACGAATCAAGATCGCTTTGGGTAAGACGAGGATGGAGGACATTGTGCTCGCATGTCAATCGACAGAAAACAAGAGGGACAGATCCCGCGTAGGTTCATCTCAGGCTTCGGTCTCGCCTGTTCACGGTTTCGCGATATTCACCCAGAGACTCATCGAGAGGTCCAAACCCGGTCTCCGCCAATAGCCGGGCTCCTCGAGACGGTCTGCCCGTGTCTACCGGGCGGAAATCTCGATCGCCTGCTCGAATCGTTCTTCCGAAGGCTTTCATGAAGAAACTGTTAGAGCTTGAGAGAATCGACTCTGCCTTGGTCGGATTTTTCAGCAGAGCTACGAAATATGGAAGGATATGCCCGACGTAACCAAAAGTTTGCCAACTCCCCGCCAGCGGGCAGCAGCAGTTCGCGGCAAGATGTCCAGAGCGTCGGGCAGACCCTCTCTTGAACGATCGCTGGCAGCCGAACTGGCTGCGCGCGCTCTACTGTCAGACCAGCTGTAGTTTAGCTTCCACTGTAGCAAGTCGTTTGCCGTTGCTTCCGACCGATCAGCCAGAGCCACCTGAGTGCCGCGAATGCACTTCTGTGAGTGAAGTGAGCTATCGAAAGGCGACGATGGCCCCTGACATGGGACTCGGGGTGGCCTCCTCGAGATATCAACGTGTGCTCCTCCTGAAAAACTGCCTCGCGATTATCTGCAGAGATCGTCGCAAGTTATCACAGCAGGCGAAGTCGAAAGACGCCCATGTTGACGGTTGGACTCTTTTCAAGAGCTTCGTGCGTGAGAACTCCCAATGCTTCTGGAATCAGTGTCTGGTGCAATGCGTCCAGTCGCTGGAATATCGCGGATACATCGTTCCGACCACAATCCTCGTGTCAGGAGGAGAGTACTCCTTGGATGTTGTGCGTTCAGCTTGGGCTCGCAGAGCGTTGAGACCCCCCATTGGATACGATATTCTTCGTCTAGGTGAGTTCGCAATGTTCCACTCGGTGCTCCCTTGTCGGCCTCGGCTCAAAAATTGACGATATCCAGATAGATAAGGAGGCATCTCCGATCGGGGAATTCCCGTGCATGGAGTCCGATCTTTGAGAGTGAGATTCGACTCGACTCCGTCGTTTTCCTCATCGGGCCTCACAAACCACAGGGCAGACTTGTTCCGATGCCAGAAAAAAAATTGTTTCCGAGAGAAAAATCACATCGCTTTCTCCGTACGAAACATCCTCACTTTTTTTCCCGGATCCGATGAGGCCGTTTCTGTATAAGGCACCTAGTCATCGGATGGAAATTTCACTGAAACATCCGATGCGGAGCCCCGTGCTCCGGTAGGATTCAGGCGCCCGGAATCCCTAGATTGAAACGAAACTCTCCGCCCGGAGTGATCTGCGTGCCGGGAAGTCTGCTCTAAATAAGAGAAATTTTCTATTATCATCTCCGCGGTTCAGAGGTGAAACCGGCGTCCGCCTGACGATCCTTGCGTACGATAAAGCATTCGGGAGCAATTCACGACAAGACCCCGTCGTGGTCGCGCGGTCTCAACGGCACTTTCCCAAAGACTCTGGTGTCGCAAGAGGCAGATCGACTCTCAGGGTCTTTTAGAGTTTGTCACTTCGGCCGTCGGCTCTCAGGAGCTGTTATTAAATTTCTATCGGTTGAACGGAGAGAGGGCCCCTTTAGAGCTCTATTGTGCTTTTGCCGGCGGCAACGTTGATGGTGGTGGTGGTCGTGGTGGTACTTGCCAGCGCGGTGAATAGCGCACGGATTCACATGGGCTGGTATCGCTAGGTCGCGCTGATGCTTCTCGCGTTGGAATAGTAAACTCAACAAAGAGCGATTGCTCTTAAATAAGCGCTGGAGGAGCTCTATCCTTCCCGTAGAGCGGATACCATATCGAACTCACGAACGCACGCTCGTCAGCCGAGGGAACGGCACACGAACAAATCTGTTCGACCGAAGAGGATGACCCTCGTAGTTCGTCGGATCGTTGATCTCGTTCCGAATCCTCCCGCGGAGGGAAAAAAATCTCCCTCGAGAACGAGCTTCGAGATCTCTTGGCGAAGTCGGACCTTTCCCCGAGGACATCGATCGGGGAACGGTGTCGGGAGTCAGAGCTCTCGTGCGTCTCGCTCGCGGAGCTCGTCGCTTGTTCCGTGGTCGAAGATGATGGAAACTCCTGCAGTTCAGAAAATTCCCATCAGCTGTGCCGAATCATCAAGTCTAAACAAGTGAGGGCCGAAAAAACGGCCCCGACCACGAATACGATGCTGATGACGGTGGCAGCGACGGTGGAGCGCGATTAACTCCAGCAACTCCCGTCTGAGCAAACATCCGCGGGCGAGCTTCAATGAAGTTTCCATGGAAAAAGTTTCTCGACTGGCTCCGAGCGAGATGAGAAGCTGCATCTGCCGACGATGTGGCCGTTGTCGAGCGAATTCGAGGAGTTTAAGTAGGACAGCCCGGATAGACGTTCCGATATACAGACGAACACTTGATGATGCTCTACGTGAACTGCGGTTTCTGCTCGTCAGAAAACTCTCTCGCTCGCAGCGGTGCATTCGATTCTGGTACGAGTTGAGCCAGTGTTCGGCTCGAGCAGAACGTCGAGCCGTAGCAGGTGGTCGCTGGCCTTTGATGCCTTTGTCGTCGAGCTCGCCGTCGCTTTCCTCGGTCTAACCTGCCGCTTGTAATGTTGGCTGGACAGCTGGCTGGTCGGTTGCTTTACCTGCTCGCACTACTGCACACTACGACTCATCTGACATAGCACATTTCCTGTCGAATGTTTTGATCAGCACAACTTTGGCTGGAGTTTCTATTCTTCTGACGGCTTTCCTCATGCGTTTCCCGTTCACGTTTGCTACGCCAGACTTGTATCGAGGATCGGAATCTGCGGTCGAGAGGACCGGTCGCGCAGGACTGGCACGCTGGATCGGATTAGCACGCTATCTAGAGTGGGCGGGCGAAAAGAGCGACCCACGGTCCGACGTCGTTTCGGAATTTGAGAAGCTCGGGCTGATGGACATCGAGCTCGGGTTCTCGAGCCGATGGTGAGATAGCTGGGCGAAGATTCCAGGAGACCGGACACTCATCCAACGTGTCTTGGATCCGGCTCGATTCGTTGTTTATTCCGCTCGATTTTCCGCAGGAAACGCGATACGTCATGAAAGATTCATTTTTGTTTGTCGTTGAACGCTTCGACGTATCAACGCCTTCCTCTTCCTTTCTTAAGCGAACGACGACTTCATCGAATTTGAAAGCGAACGCGAAACTCGCAAAGTGCTCACTAGATATCGATGAGCATATATTCACCATTTTCGATGTCTGCCCTCGCATTTTCTACGCGTCGGTCGTATCTCCCCTGTCCGTTATTGAATGTTACCTCACTGTTGAATGAGTGGGCGTCTTACGTTCGCCGGCCGCTGTCGAAGTGCACGATGTAATCACCACCTGCGATTAAATTACAATGGTCGCTAGATTTCGTTATAGAGAGGCGGAGATCCTCATCGAAATGAACGACAAACATTGTTCGCTGCGACCGTTTTCGGTGCATGGATCATCATACTTCCAGGAGGACGGTGCGGCCGGGTAACTTGCCGCGACGGCTAAGGCGATGAATTTCCCCCCACGAACAATCATAGCGCTTTGTCCGATATGATCGCTCGTTGTGACTTGTGACTACCTCTGACCGATCTCTGCTCATTCACCGAGTCAGAGCAGGATCGGGGCGTACTGCGGCCTGCGACTCAATCGGAATCCAGGACGGGCACGATATTCAGCCCACGACGCCGAGAACAAAATTATTATCAATGTTCAGCTTGTCTTCTCTTAAACTTGCAAGAAGAGGACGCATCCGCCATCTCGCTCGGTCGATCTTTCCGAGAAGGTGGGGGTTCTACCGTCAAGACAACGAAGCTGAAAGGATCGGACTACATCGATGTACCTCGTGGAATGGAGGCGGGTTCCCTACAATCGGGATATACCGTGACGAGGTGCGAGTTTATGCCGACTCAGTACTGTCTAGCCGCTCGTCGAGATTGAGTCGGAAACAGCATGCGTAGCTTGTGGTGGATACTCCTGGTGACCTCTGTAAATATCTGCGATTCCTACCCCGTATTGCCAAGAGAAGATTCGCCAACTTCAGATGTGGTGGACACAGTGTTCACGAGCCCGGCTGTGACGATTTTGAATTTTTTCAAGAACGCCATCCGATGGATTTATTCCGGTCTAAGACAATTGTTCGCTTTAGTCGTGAAGTTTGTCGCTGACCTGTCGTACGGAGTGTTCATCGTGTCAGCGATCTTGATTGCCATAATCGTCGTATGCAACGAATTCGCTTGCCGATATTGCGCTCGACGAATCAACTGGAGGAGGAGAAGGGACCATGAGAACAGACTGAGAGTCCTCAGAGATCTCTCAAGTCGTCGTGACTTCGGCGATGTGAGTCATCTAACCCACGAGATCGTCAGAAGATTTCCGGACTCTCCGCAGACACCACACGAAATCGGATCGGAAGCACGGACTGAAAACAAGAAAGTCGAGCTTGTCGAAGGCCTCCCATGTGTTAGCGGCAGGAGTAAACCCCTGATCAAACCGAAGGTATCCGGAACTCGGAGCGAGACTCCGAGTGCGGATTCAAATGCTCCTGTCGGAGAAGCTCGCCGAAACATAGAGAGCTCCAACGGATAGTTCGCTGGACCCGTTGGGGGAAGCAGGAAAACTCGGAATCGAATGATTCCGGGGAACCCCGGGAAAAATGAGATCTGGACATGAGTGATCGCGGGGCGGCACGGACTAGAACATGCGACAAGTCCTTGACCGCGAGGACTCGACTACAAGTCGTACTAAAAATGACTTATGCAATGGGAAGATTTGCAAACATCAACAAGGGGAGCATAACTGCCTAAGAAACCGAGGGATTGTCTCGGCATGCCCTATCGCCTGTTTGCTGACTGACTAAGTGAGACGCTGGCTGGATCGGATTCAATGATGTCACCGGAGTATTTGTGATAGGTCGCTCGCTTTGTCGGTTTGCCGCTCGCTTGGCATTCTTCGATTGCAGAAGGGTTCTCGATGTCGGACAAAACCCGAGTTAGGGACCAGTGTCGGCGGCGGGGCGTATGGATCGATGGAAAGATGAACCAACGAACGGACGACCTAGCTCCCCCCCCCCCGGCTGATGTTTTCCTGCGAGCTCTGTCCAACAAACACTCATTGTCTTGCCGACCGACGGAGACTTATCGGAAGTTGGGCAATGAAACTTTTGGAATCATCGTCGTGGCGGAGCATTTTGTCGTAATCGAGCGGCAGACGACGCTTCGGCCTAGCGGACCAATTGTTCGCCCGGGCGGGAAGAGTCAGGTGTCTTCGGGAGGAGAGCTCGGCTGTCCCTCGAATGCTGGTCGTCGTGCCGGAAAATTCGTCGCGTCGTACGTCTCCGTGACTCTGTCGCCTGCTGATCATGACGGCTTCATTACGATAAGCGTCAATCCATCCGATAATGCGGAGCACCGCTGGGTTTATGATGGCGATTCGTTTCCAAAACGACGCCTCGCACAGCTGCGGTGTTCGACGACGACTGCACGGAAAAATAAAAGGAAATACAGTCAATGGGTTGTTGCTGGTTGTGGTCTTTAGACGTTGCTCGTCTCTTTCTGCGGACTGCTGTTTTTGTTTGTCGTCGTTATTCAGGAGTAGACGAGGGAAATGTATCGACCCCACGATCGCCACGTTTTTTTAATGGGAGACGCTTTTGTCGAAAGAAAAAAGCGCTCCGTTTTTTTGCGTCGTTATATAAAACTGGGAATATCTACCCTCTAAATCAAGGTCGCTCGGTCGGTGGTTCAATCATTTCGCGGCCCGGCCCTCTTCCGGAGCCCAACGGCTAGCCTTGTGCGGCGCGGCGAAGGCGATGCCCGATTCTTGTCCGGTTTTCACGAACACCTTGAAGGCTGACATGAAAGCTCTCGGGTTCC